ATCTCGAAGCTCAAAGATCTAGAAAAAGAACAACAAGAAAACCCCAAAACCAGTAGAAGAAAAGAAATAATAAAAACCAAAGCAGAAATAAATGAAATTGAAACTAAAAAAACAATCCAAAAGATCAATGAAACCAAGAGCTGGTTCTTTGAAAAAATCAATAAAATAGACAAACCCCTAGCCAGGCTCACAAAGGAAAAAAGGGAGAAAGCACAAATAAACAGGATCATCAATGAAAGAGGAGAAATCACAACGGACACAGCAGAAATCAAAAGAATAATCAGTAACTACTATGATCAGTTATATGGAAACAAGTTTAACAATCTAGAGGAGATGGACAAATTCCTACAACTCTACAATCACCCAAAGCTAGATAAAGAAGAAATAGAACACCTAAACAGACCCATTACAATTAGCGAAATTGAAATGGTAATCAAAAACCTCCCCAAAAACAAAAGCCCAGGACCTGATGGATTTACAAATGAATTCTACCAAACATTCAGAGACGAATTAGTGCCTATCCTTCACAAACTCTTCCAAAAAATTGAGAAGGAAGGGACAATACCAAACACGTTCTATGAAGCCAACATTACACTAATACCAAAACCGAACAAGGACAACACAAAAAAGGAAAACTACAGGCCAATCTCCCTAATGAACACTGATGCAAAAATCCTCAATAAAATTTTAGCTATCAGAATCCAACAATGTATCCATAAGATAATTCACCACGACCAAGTTGGATTCATTCCAGGGCACAAGGATGGTTTAACATCCGAAAATCAATCAACGTTATCCAACACATCAACAAAAAGAAATATAAAAACCATATGAATATCAATAGATGCTGAGAAAGCTTTCGACAAAGTGCAACACCCATTCATGATAAAAGCCCTTGAAGTTCTTGGGATACAAGGAACATACCTCAACATCATAAAGGCCATCTATGACAAGCCAACAGCCAGTATCATTCTCAATGGTGAAAAGCTGAAAGCAATTCCATTAAGATCTGGAACAAGACAAGGATGTCCACTCTCACCATTGCTTTTCAATATAATACTGGAAGTCCTAGCCAGGGCAATAAGACAAGAGAAAGACATCCAAGGAATCCAAATAGGAAAAGAAGAAGTCAAACTATCACTATTTGCAGACGATATGATATTATACATAGAGAACCCCAAAAACTCCACAGAAAAGCTAATTCAACTCATCAATCAGTTCAGTAAAGTGGCAGGATACAAAATCAACACGCAAAAGTCAGTAGCCTTCCTATACACAAACAATAAATCTGAAGAAGAAGAAATCGAAAAGACCATCCCTTTTGTTATTGAAACAAAAAAAATCAAATATTTGGGAATAAATCTAACAAAAGAGGTAAAGGACCTATACAAAGAAAACTATAAAACACTGTTAAAAGAAATAGAAGAAGACACAAAGAAATGGAGAGACATCCCCTGCTCATGGATTGGAAGAATAAACATTATTAAAATGGCCATCCTTCCAAAAGCAATATACAGATTCAATGCTATTCCAATCAAAATTTCAATGTCATTCTTCAAAGAAATAGAAAAATTATTGATGAAATTCATATGGAATCACAAAAAACCCCGAATAGCCAAAGCTCTCCTGAAAAAAAAGAAGGGAATGGAGGCATCAGACTCCCAGACTTCAAACTATACTACAAAGCCATAATCATCAAAACTGCATGGTATTGGAACAAGAACAGACATACAGACCAATGGAACCGAATAGAAAATCCAGAAATAAACCCACAGATTTATGGTCAACTAATCTTTGACAAAGGAGCAAAGACTATGCATTGGAGCAAAGAAAGTTTGTTCAATAAATGGTGCTGGGAAAACTGGGTCGCTACATGCAAAAGAATGAAGCTTGACCACCACCTCACACCATACACAAAAATCAACTCAAAATGGATTAAAGAACTAGACATAAGACCTGAAACCATAAAATATATAGAAGGAAATATAGGCGAAACACTACGTGATTTGCACATCAAAGACATCTTTACAGACACATCACCCAAAGCAGTGATAGTGAAGGCAAAGATAAACAGCTGGGACTATATCAAATTAAAGAGCTTTTGCACAGCAAAAGAGACAATAACAAAAACAAAGAGAAACCCCACCAACTGGGAGAACATTTTTGCACCCAACACTAATGATAAAGGACTGATCACAAAAATCTGCAAAGAGCTGATGAGACTCAACAACAACAAAGAAAATAATCCAGTCAAAAAATGGGCAGAAGAGCTTAAAAGAAACTTCTCTGAAGAGGAAATGCAAATGGCCAACAGGCATATGAAAAAATGTTCAACATCACTTGTCATCAGGGAAATGCAAATCAAAACTACCATGAGATACCATCTTACACCAGTGAGAATGGCACATATTAAAAAAACTAGCAACAACAAATGTTGGCGAGGGTGTGGAGAAAAGGAACTCTTCTGCACTGTTGGTGGGAGTGCAAACTGGTCCAACCACTGTGGAAAGCTGTGTGGAGATTTCTGGACCTACTAAACATAGAGCTTCCATATGACCCAGCAATTCCACTCCTAGGTATTTACCCAAAGGACACAGAAACATCAATTCCAAAGAACACCTGCACCCCTATGTTTATAGCAGCACTGTTTACAATAGCTAAGCTTTGGAAACAACCCACATGCCCAAAAATAGATGACTGGATCAAGAAGATGTGGTACATATATACCATGGAATATTACTCAGCATTCAAAAAAGATAAACACATGCAATTTGCTGCAACATGGATGGCGCTGGAAGGGATCATGCTCAGCGAAATAAGCCAAAAAGAAAAAGAAAAATACCGGATGGTCTCACTCATAGCAGGAATCTAGAAAACTTAAATAAGGGACCAGGAAAATGAAAAACTATAAGAAAGTGAAAATCAAAATCAACAAAAAACTATGAACCAGAGACACTTTTAGGGGGGCGGGGGTGGAGGGGAGGGATTGGGGTCAGAATGGGGGGCGGCAATTGTATGGGGAATATAACAATAAAATTTATAAAAAAAAAAAAAGAAAGGATATAAAAGGTATGCAAATAGGAAAGAAATAAAATTAATTTTTGCAGATGAAAAATAAAAAAAAAAAAAAAAAAAGAAAGATTCCAAGATGACTGCTTTGCATCAGACCTACAAACCAGTGGCATAGAATGAAGTAGAAGATAGAAGACATCAAATAATATGCAGGAAATGTTATTTTCAATGAAAAGTACATATAATTACAAAAATATATATGAATTTTAAACTTCAGTGAAAAGGAGGGCTGTATATTGACGATCACTGACCAATATGAGATACATTAAAGAAACTGCCATTTCATATTTTTAATCTTAACAGCACATACTGAATCTAGTCATTAAAAAGCACCAAGACAATATGTCACAGATTTTGTAAATCATTCCATATTTGAAAATTAAAAACAAAGAAAATGTTTCTTGAATACAAAGCTATGAGAACTCTAAAATGGAAAATACAGATAGGATTGTATGGAGCTATGCCCACTAAATATCTCAAATGTGAACACTACAGTCTCATATTGTTTTGGTTGCAATAACACTAACCTCAAAAACCTATGATGAAGTTCATAATTAAAATATTGAGGAATCTGCCTGATTGTTATTTCAGAGTTAGTATGGTATAAATTGACACAAAGACTTTCAGAATGTTTATAACCCACAGACCTTCACAGAGAGAACTACTACAAGATAAACACCAAAAGAATTGATTTCAAAAGTGAAAGATGGGATATAAGCAATAATGAACAAGAACTCCCTAAATAGATATCAAAAAATTAAGCAGTGAATATAAAAAGGAACAACAGGTGTAACTATATATACAAGTTCTTTCTGAAATAATTCTTTACTCTTAGTTTTTGAAATATTTTCTTTCTAGAATGAAGATGCTTTCTATTTCCTTGTCAATGGATAACAAGAAATATCATTCAGAAAAAATAGAGCAGGTGTATAAATACTGATGCCAAAATATTCAGACACATATGTATGGAATTTTCTAATATTAAGACTACGTAAACAATACAACCTGAGACTGGAAAAGAGGACAAATAACTGGGAGGATTTAATCACTCTAAATAAGAAAAAAATCAAGAAATCTTAAACCTTTGGAAAAATAATTCTTCCCTGGGAATACCTTGACTCAACATAAGTACAGAAAATATACATAGAAGAGTGAATACAGAAAAAGTACAGTTATAGATAAGTACCCACTTGTGTGTGCCAGATCATTAAAATAGCTGATCTCCAAACACATACATACACACACTTACACCATACATTCCCAGAACAAATTCTCCCTCAATGCATATAAAATAGAAATCTTAAAAATATAAGTCATGACTACTATTGATATTTTTTTCATCAGCTTTAAGTGTTAGAGAAGTTTCAAGTTCACCGCATACCTGAGCAGAAAGTAGAGAGAGTTCCCATGTACACCCTGTCTCCATATATACATAACTTTCCATTTTTGTAATGTCCTGCAGAGTAGTGTATGTGTTACATTCAGTGAGCCTACATTGATACAATGTAGTATCCATAGTTTACATTAGGATTCACTGTATAGTCTACAGACTTTATTAAATGTCATAATGACATTTTTCCACCACTATAATATCACTTAAAGTAGTTTTACTAATTTAAAACCCTCTCTGGTCTGCATATTCATCCTTTTAAGTTTGTGAAAGGTTTTTAATCAGATTGATAAATAAAGATCAGCAAAAATAATAAAAGCTGGGAATAAAATATATGATGTAACCTAACATAAAGCAAAAATTGACTAGAAAATAAATAGAATACACAAAGTATGCTAATATATTAGCTATTATTGAATATTTCATGGGGAAAAAAAAAACCCTCAAACATAAATAGACCAAAATAGCAGCTTAGGAATTTCTAACTCTTCGCACTCAACCAGAGACAACAATTTGAACTACCCGAGCAAGACAATACCTTCACAAGAGCCAAGGAGTCCATGTAACAAATGACAGCACCTGGGTGAGGCACAGAAATACGAAAAGACAGAGTGAGGAAGGTGGTAAAGAAAAACTCACACTGCCCAAGGGCACTCGTGGTGGGAGTAGAGCGAAGTCAGTCCAGGACCTGACCACGGACCCCAGAGCCAGTGGGCCAGCACCAGATATTCCTGTGACCCTAAGTGGCTTCCTTCCCAGGTGCCAGTCCCTGGGAACCAGGTCCCAGGGCCCCCCATATGCCTGCTGGCTCCAGCAGCTCCAGAAAGTTTCCTTAGCTTTAAGTTCCCAGTAAACAGCTGCGAATACAGCTGCCCCCCACCCAACACCACTCCTCTCCCTCCAGCTCCTGGAGGTTTTTCCCTGGATACTTGAGACCCCGTCATTGTCTTTATCACTGCACAATCTCACTGGGCTCCCCACAAATCCAGGTCCCCTGCTTACCTCGTTGTTTGCTGGTTCCAGTGGCCCCAGTGGCTCCAGGTGGTCCCGTAACCGCCGGCTTCTCCCACCACACCAAGTTTTGCACAGGTTTCAGCAAACCCAGGCCTTCAGCTCCCCCAGGGTCTGCAGGTTGCCACAGTCCCAAGCAACTTCATGCTCCAACTACCGGAGAGACTTCTGCAAACTCAGGGCTATGGCTCTTCCAGATATCTGCCAGCTCCAGCAGCTCCACGAGCCTTCTCCTGCAACTCTAGGAGACTTTCTCAGCTCCTGGAGCCCAGCCCAAGCCGAAGCTCCACTTGGCTACTACCTCTGCCCTAGGCGGCTTCCTTAGCAACAAGCGTTTCTACCATTTCCCATAAGCCCAGGGAACGGACCCACTGCGCATGCGTATGTGTGCCTTGCAGGTGTGCAGGCTGATGCTCCGAATGGATTCCAGCTGATGCAAAGACCAAGCTACCCAGCGGCCCAGGCACCCTGGCTTATGTCAACCCAGACCCACGACAACCCTCAGGTTCCCAGACCCATGACAACCTTCAGTTTCCAGTCCTAGCCCCGCCCACAACCCTGGCTCCAGGCTTGCATTCTGGCCCCAAAATGCTAAGTGGGCCCACCTGCTGATATGGACACCAGATCTGCCTGCTGAAGAAATCCAGCTGACAACCCCACTGCTGACATCACCTAAGGCCCACTCTGAATGTCTGCAAAGGCTCTGCCTGCCTAACAGCCTGGCTGTAAAGACTGAAAGAGGTGCCTGTAGCCTCAAATGTGCAGAGACTATAGTGGGGAGAAATATCGGGGTGAAGACCGACAGAATCCAGTAATTCTGCAAGGATCGTGCTTATCAAGGAAACATGCCACCGCTGAAGAAAATTAATCAAATGATTATGTTTGACCCAAACAAAATGGAAATCTATGAATTAACAATCGAGAATAACCCTTTTAAAGGAATCCAGTGAACTCTTCCATCTTACTGTATTTGTTTATGCTTAAGAGATAGATTTTGCCTTGTTTGTTCTAGCAAAACTCTCTGGTATTGTCAGCGGAATTTCCAACTGACCCCGGGGGAAATGAGCTGGGTTGTCTTGTGCACATGGATTTGAGATCCAAAAAAAAAAAAAATGAGCCTGGATTGCCGGCCTCTGCTGTTGTTTCCAGGCCTCGGGTATCTTCCTAACAAAACCAGTTATCACTGGTTTTCTGTGCTCTCCATTTCTCTTGTTTTCTTTTCTGGGCTTATGGCTCTTTTTAGCTGGGAAAAGCAGGAAAATTAGTCTAAGTCCTCAAATTCTTTTAATCTTCTTACAATAGTCTAGATAAATATGTAAAACTCTGCCTCCATTTCCATATAATTTTGCATACACAGTATTTGTGGAGAAAAAGAAATTAGATGTTAAAAAAATAATTTGGATTAGTAGGTGGATGACACAAAAAAGCAATAGTTTTATTTAAAACAGAACATTCGGAAATCATTGCTAAGTTTTATTCCTATCTCCAGTTTTTATATGTCTTGGTGCGATTTAAAACATACCCTTGTTTCTTTTGGAAATGTTTGTAAAAATGATTTGCTATTTTCAAATGTTCCTTGGTTAATAATGTTATTACTACAGAGTGAAATTTTTCTCTCGTTAAATGTGTATTTTGTATAAAAAATAAATGAATAAACATAGAATGGTCTTGGGTTGAAAATACCAAAGGTATTAGGAAGAAATTAATACAGATTACATATCAGTTGGAAACTGACCTTGGCCCTCCGGGAGTCTAAAATATAAAGCCTTTTAAAAATGCTCTCAAAATTCAAATTTATATAACATAAACAGGCAAAAAAAATAGAAGAAAGCAAACTGTAAATTAGTAAAAGGTAACAAGAAATAATAAAAGACTATAGTAGAAAAGCAAAGTTGATGTAATAAATAGTAGTATTAGATGCCAGAAAACCTAAGAAAATGTATTGAATGGAAGAAAAATATTAAAAATATGTATAAATAACTTCTTGAAATGACAAAAATATAATAAGAGATAGATTTTGAGGCTAAAATTAATATTAAACAAAATTTAGATTAATGAATCACAGCATAGACCTGAGGAGTAAATATAATTGAGCAAATGAAAGTGACCTCAGGATCACTTTCATTCATGAATTGTTAAATCATTCCTTCTTTTGCTCCCCATTATAATAGTGTCTGAAGGGTAAAGATTAAGATACATGAAAAATAGAAAGAAGAGGTCTAATGTCAAATTCTAGGCGTTTATCACCAGCAAAACAACAGCAATAACAATTTCAAATATATATAAATCAAAATGTCACAGACAAGCAAAAGTGGAGTTGGGTAACACTCTAGAACTAGAAACTATTCATATCTCTCTCTCAGGAATTATTATATCATTGATAAAATAATTAAGTAAGACTCTGGATGGATTTTAGCAGAATAGTTGATAGTCTTTATCTTTATGAACAGATTATTCTACTGCACTTAAACTTAGCCAAAGGGCCAAGAAGCAATGAACAGATTATTCTAAACAACCTGGTAAGCTATTTGAAAATTGACCATAGCTTATGATATAAGATAGGTTTTAACAAATTCCAGAGAATCTGTATCATACAGAATATATATATTCTTTGGACAAAATATAATTACATGATAAATTAACACAAAATGTTAAAAAAAAAAAAGCCTTAGAGAAGTTAAAAACAATTCTAACTAAACGACAGAAAATAATAGTGAAGAATGTGTAGATACATTTATAGTTCAGTGACTGAAAATATAAACTTAAAACATATGCAAGTAAAGACAGAGTTGATGGAAATGTAGAATCAATTTCTTATAAAATAATATTTTCAAAGAAAGAAAGAGAATACAATTAGAGAAAACACAGAAAAAGGTAAAACAGTAGACTAAAGAAATAGGGGGCAATAAAATAAATAAGATTAAAAATTGGCATTCTTTAGGGTGAGAATAAAACCTTGGTCTAATTAGAATAGGAAATGGAAAAGTCACAATAAATAGCATAATTGAAAGGGTTGAGGACATAAATGCATGATATGTGGTAAGTTTATTATTTTTAATTAAGTTGTTAATATATATTTTACATCATTGTTCACTTTTGTACAATACATGCTTTCTCCTCTCAGATATAGTTTCCATAAAATTCCCACTACAAATTCACCCCTGCACCATCACCATAGCCCCTTGTGCTCTTCCCTCCCCTGTTTGGATCCCTCTTCCTCTCCTTCCCCTGAAGAATATCTCCTCATTTATAGTTGCCCGTTAATTTTTCCTGACCCTTTGTTTGGTTTCCCTATATTCTTCCTATAAGTGAAACTATCCAATGTTTTTCTTTTTCCTTCTGGCTTATTTCACTTATTTCCCTTCCAGCTCCATCCATGTAGCTGCAAACAGCATGAGTTTATCTTTTTGATTGCTGAGTAATATTCCCTTGTGCATATATACCATAAATAATTCTACCTTCTTTCTGTTATTCTGCAATTGCTTCTTTCTCTGCATCTACTTTTTTTTTGTTTTGCTAAAACATGATCTAAAAAAGAACATGAAGTATAAACCAACTAACAAACAACATCTTAATTCAAATAATTTATTTGGAGTAACCAAATTATTATTTTATTAGAAATTCTGATAGCTATCAATTTCCTGAATTTTATATTAGCCTGAAAGAAATATTATGTGAATTGTTAAAAAACACTTAAATTTATGTTGGTATGTTTATAAAATCATACAGGCATGTTTAATATTTATTATCATTAATTGAAATTTAATCTTATGAAGAAGTGCTATACACATGGAATATATTACTTTTAAGTTTGATTAATTCAAAATGAGATGATTACTCAGGTTTATGAAACTAATGCATTAACCTTCTGGAAGTTTGAAAGTTCTAAGATTTTTTTGCCTTGTATTTAAATAAATTGTGTTAGGATTGTGAGAAGCTCCTTGAGGATAGATGAAGAGAGAGAGTGTATGGCATGTCTGGGCTTGTCCACTATCTAATAAAACATGTTGTAGCAACATATGGCATCAGCAAACAGAACAAAACACACAGCTTTATTGCAGATTGGTGACACTGATGACTGCCAAACACATTAGTGCAATCACTCAAAAATAATTAATAACTAGGAATTTCAGCAGAAAACCATTTAGGCTTGCAATGGTGCTATATGTGAAGTCATGGTTTTCACAGGGTTTCAGAGGAAACACTAAACAATTGGGAAACCCACCAGAAATCTGTGAAGTTCATTGCAAGTTTTTGGCGTCCACACATCTGTGTTTATGGCTGCATTTATTTGGAATAAAAAATATTTAGTTTTATTATTAATTAAAATTCTATATTATTTCAAATATTTTGTGTTTTTACTACTGCTAAGCCTAAGGAATATTTATTAAAACAAATTGGCAGTGTTCCTGCCCACCTGTGACTATGCAGGTGCCTCTCTTTTTCTTTCTTCATTTCCTAATAAACCTGTCCTTTTAAATGTAAAAAATAAAAAAGAAGAAAGAAGATATAATTGTCTCTTTACCTGTTTATTATATATAATGTTTTATGGGTTGTTTAATGTCTTTGAGTAGAGAGTAAGTGGCGTTTCTATGTCAGTAATAGTTCATGA